GCTTGGAGGTCAATAAATAAGTTTGTCCTGTACAGGGCTCTGGCAGGGGTTCCACAATTGCCCCCCATGAGGGGCAGACGCTGTGAGGTGCATCAGAAAGGAGGACACTGAAGGGTTGTGCTTGGCGAGATGAATTTTGGCTGATCTTCATGGGGCCTTGATTCCATGGTGGCGAGGAAGGGAAATGAAGTCGTGTTGGAACATTGTATCCTGCTGCAAAGCCGGCCTCGTAACCAGCCACATCCCCAGCAGAGTTCCAGTCTCTATGCTTTTCCCACCACGGTTAAGTTCCCTGTTCTGGACCCAGGTGGCCGCTTCTCCCTCAGTCTGTGCCCAGATCACCCTCCTGCAGCCAGGATAGACAAGGGCCTTGGAGACTCTGTGTAACCCTTTACTACGGTGACCAGATGTCCTGATTTTATAAGGACAGTCCCGATATTTGGGGCTTTTTCTTATATAGGCACCTATTACCCTCCACTCCCTGTTCTGATTTTTCACTTGCTATCTGGTCACCCTACCCTTTACCCTGAACAGGGCAGGGGACCCCAGTGCCAGCTCCCCTCACACGCTGTCCTGGGCCACTGGCCCTCTGCCCTGACCTGGGATGAATCTCTCTAAAGGGGAGAGAGAAGCTCCATCTGCACGCTCCATTGAACTCCTGGCCTCTCTGCTGAGCCTCACGTGGAGGGGGACGACCAGTGCAGACTTTGCTGGTTACCTCGGTGTGTGATGGAGATGCCTACGCCCCGGGAACCAGGGTGAGATCCCAGCACATTCCACACAGGCCCCAGAACAGTCGCCCAATGGAACTTCAGCCACTGGCCCCATGGACAGGATGTGGGTTACTAAACTGAAACAGACCAGCCGGAGAGAAGCATCTTTACTTGACCCCAACCCCCAGGGCTATGATGCTCACTTTGTTTGCGAATGCCCCGGAGCTGCGACAGGCGTACCAGGAGGCCAGGGAGGCAAGCAGTCGCTCTGACGCTGTGCCACGGACGTGCCGCTTTTATGAGGAGCTGCACGCTATCCTCTGCAGCACGCCTCCCCCCCACCCCATGGAGACATCAGGGGAGTCTGAGTCGTGGGCCGAGGAAGAGGCAGATGAGAATGGGAGACAGGCGAGCAGGGATCCATTGTTGGATTCAGGGTTTAAATTCAGCTGGAGCTGTCTGGAGCGGAGCTCTAGTCAAAATTTTCAACTGCCCTGGAGGTTTTATAGCATGTTGGAGGGGGCCATGGGAGGCTCCAGGAAATAATCGACAGGAATTTAAACCCTGATCAGATTAAACTCTGTGGCCTAATCTACAATGGAACGAGACGAAGAAAGAAATAACGCTGCCTTCATTCTGGGGTTTACATACCCTACCCCTGAGGTTTAAAGACGCTTTCCCCGATCACAAAGGTACGTTCTTTATTTGTGTCCAAATTTAAAAGAGAAATGTTACACTCCTAGCAAATGGCGACAGGAATGCCCCCGTCTGTCATAATGTGCTGCCCCTGGACCAGAGCATGAGGAAAGGTAGAGAGGCAGGACAACAACTGGGCTAGGTGAACCCGTCATCACAATCTGCTACTCCTGGGCCAGGAGAAGGGGAAAGGTGGAGGATGGGGAAAAGGGGACAGGTAGCACATTGTGCAAGCAGCAGTTTGTAATGTTACATTGGCCAGGAGTGGGGCAGCAGGCAGCCCTCATGACAAGGGGGATGGTGGATATGAGGGGAAGTTGCCTAGGTAGGTTAATTCAGCCCTACAAATAACCAGAGGAACCTAGGATTACCCAGGAAGTGTGCGGCAGATCCAGGTCTCCTGGGCTAGCACGCTACCCACCGGACCCACCCTTTCACTCTACAGGGATACTTGGGACAAGTAGCTATACACAGGGATTCAAAGATATAACAGATTTAAATCCCCTAGCATCAGGGCACGAGCCAGTGACTTACTGAGTGGGTCGGAGGCGTGAGGAGTACAGATTTATTAAGGGGGGACTAGTCAGCTTTGGCTTGACCACCCCAGGCCCCCCAACGCTGATGGAAATAAATGATCAACGCATAGGTCATCTTTCCCTCGAAAGCCAGCAGGTTCCAGGTCTGGTGCCCGTCCCTGGAGGACTCTGGGGCAGTTCTAGAGACCAGCCTTCGGTGGGGCTTGGAGTCTCCTCCAGCCCCCTGACGTCTGGGGGAACAAACAGCCGAACTGCCCACGGTACATATTTAACCAGCTCAATAACCGAAACACGGAAAAATGAAAGAACGTTAATAACCTGGCTGAGTACAGTAACTGGTGATTTAAACCACTCCAAATAAATTAACAGCACCTTCTAAGTGCTACATAACACTCCAGGAAGGTGGCGGAACTGTGTAGCCAGCAATACCGCCGTAATAGGGCATCCTTAACTTTAAATACTAAGTGATGTGTTTTGGTTCCAGCCCAAGAGCTGATAGAGGGAGGCTCAGATCGCACCCTGATTGAAGTGAATATCGCCATTAGAGCCGTCGGTTCCATGGAGGCAGCCTGCCCAAATGATGGCTGATTAGGTAATCTCCCACGTCACACAGTAAGCTCCAATAAGGCTGGTGGTCGTAGGACTGTTCAGTGCAAACATAGGTGAAAACAACAGGATTTCTCAAGGTTCAATGTACAGACCCTAACCTCTGAAATCCCGGCACGTGTGATAGCGAGGTTGTTTGACATAGGTACTTGAGCAACGACTTGATAGGCGCTACGCTCGTGAGCTCACATGCACAGGCGCCAACGCTGTCATTTCCAGCAGGGGGCTCGCCCTTGCCCCATGCTGCCTCCTCCCCTGAGCACTCGCCACCCTCGCTCTGCCCTCTCCCTCCCTGCGCACTGTGGAACAGCTGATCGTGGCAGGCGCTGGGAGGGAGGGGGAGGAGCTGATCCAGCCCCAGAGGGAGCACCCACAGAGTTAGCACCTAGCTCACATGTAGAGCAGTGGTTATCAAACCGTGGGTCGCGAGCCAGAACAGAGTCATGGAATGGAAAGGATTGGGTCACGGTGGCTCTGGTCAGCACCGCCAACCGGGCTGTTAAAAGTCCCGTCAGCGGTGCTGCCCGGCTAAGGCAGGCTCGTCCCTCCCTGTTCCGAGACCGCCCTGCGCCCTGGAAGCGACCAGCAGCAGGTCCGGCTCCTCCGTTGGGGGGGGCGCCAGGGGGCTCCATGCACCGCCCTGCCCTGAGCACCAGCTCCGCACTCCCATTGGCTGGTTCCCGGCCAATGGGAGCTGGGGAGGGTGATGCCTGCGGGCAAGAACCACGCGGAGCCGCTTGCGTACCTCTGCCTTGGAGCTGAACCTGCTGCGGGCCGCTTCTGGGGCGCAGTGCGGTCCGAGGTGCCAGGACAGGCGGGAAGCCTGCCTCTGCACTCCGGCTGTGCAGCTGACCGGGAGCCGCCAGAGGTAAACCTGAGGCACACCCCAACCCCGTGCCCCAATCCTCTGCCCCAGCCCTAAGCCCCCCCAAACCCAGAGCCTCCTCCTGCACCCCAAACCCTTCATCCCTTGCCCCAGCCCAGAGCCTGAACCCCCAGCCCAGAGCCCTGACCCCCCCTGCACCCCAACCCGCTGCCCCAGCCCAGAGCCCCCTCCCACATCCTGAACCCCACATTCCCGGCCCCAGCCCACATCCCTTACCCCCGCACCTCAACCCTCCCCCAGCCCTGAGCCCCTCCTACATCCCAAACCACTCATCCCCAGCTCTGTCGAGTCATGGGCATCAACAATTTTCTTCAACTAGGTAGCCAGAAAAAAAGTTTGAAAACCACCGACCTAGAGTAGCGTGTGCAGTCCTGGTCACACCATTTGAAAAAGGCTATTGCAATATTAGAGAGGGTTCAGAGAAGGGCAACAAGAATGATGAAGGGCTTGGAAAGACTCTTTTGGTAAGAAAGATTCAAAAGAATGGGACTGTTTACCTTAGAAAGGAGATGAATAAGAGGGGATAGGATAAAAGGGTATAAAATAATGAATGGGACAGAGAAGACTGGAAACGTCTTTTCTGCCTGTCTCATAACACAAGAACAAGAGGACAGTCAATGAAATGGAAAGGGATCAAATTCAAAACCCATAAGAAATACTTTTCCACAAAACATGTAATTAAACTGTGGAACTCATTGCCACATGGAGTTTTTGTGGCCACTAACTTAGCAAGATTCAAAAAAGGGATGGGATATTGATGATATGAATAACTAGAAACCCCAGAATTATAGTTAATGCAAATGAAATTTTTTGGAAGGAATAAATTGGTCAAGGCTTAAAATGATCTCTAACTATTAGGGATCAGTAACACTCTTATATAGTGTTTTCCCTCAAAGCGCTTTACAAAGGAGGTACAGGAAGGGTCTTGACCTTAAACCTGAATCTGAGCCTGGGTTTATTCTGTGGGGTAGAAAGAAAGCTGCCAAGCCCGCTCCTAGCAAGCCTCTGTTGGCTTCTTTGTGTATGTAATTGCCTATTCATTTCTTTAAGTCGCCTGTTGCTTGTTTGGGGGCTCTGCTGGGGGGTGGGGATGCGTGGCTTCTGGTGTGTTGTGTGTGTGTTGATGGTTTTTTGTTTCAGAGGAACAGCCGTGTTAGTCTGTATTCGCAAAAAGAAAAGGAGGACTTGTGGCACCTTAGAGACTAACCAATGTATTTGAGCATGAGCTTTCGTGAGCTACAGCTCACTTCATCAGATGTATACCGTGGAAACTGCAGCAGACTTTATATACACACAGAGACCATGAAACAATACCTCCTCCCACCCCACTGTCCTGCTGGTAATAGCTTATCTAAAGTGATCAACAGGTGGGCCATTTCCAGCACAAATCCAGGTTTTCTCACCCTCCACCCCCCCACACAAATTCACTCTCCTGCTGGTGCTAGCCCACCCAAAGTGACAACTCTTTACATAATCAAGTCGGGCTATTTCCTGCATAGATCCCGCCAGAGAGCGTGATTGGCTCCCAGTTGGGCAATCTGCTTTACAAGGCTGCTTGCTGGGTCTAGCAGGAAACGAAACTTATACTGTTACGCTGTCTTCTGGGAGCCATGGCTGCAGCCCTGAATCCTTTGAAGAGCCTCCGAGAGGAAGCTACTTGCTCCATCTGTCTGAGTTTTTTTAAGGATCCAGTGTCCTTAGATTGCGGGCACAATTTCTGCCAAGCCTGCATCGCCCAGTGCTGGGAGGGACCAAATACAGACATCTCCTGCCCTCAGTGCAGAGAAACCTTTCCCCAGAGGACCCTCAGGCCGAACAGACAGCTGGGGAACTTTGTAGCAATCGCCAAGCAGCTGAGTTTCCAAACAGTGGCAGCAGCAGCCAGGAGGAGATTTGTGCAAGGCGCACCAGGAGCCTTTCAAACTCTTCTGTAACCAGGACCAAATGCTCATCTGTGTGATCTGCAGGGAGTCCCAGGCTCACCGTACTCACAGGGTGGTCCCCACAGAGGAGGCTGCCCGGGAGCACAAGGTAGGCCACAGCTGGGCCCGGGGCCGGGAGCGGAGCCGCCCTCCCCTCCTCCCAGTGCACCCCTATTTCCTGTGCCTGTGTGTGGGTGGCACTCCCCTTCCCTCTGTGGGGGCCTGGCCCGGGCCCCACCATGGCCCCCCAAACTTTCCTCTGCACTCCCCTAGGGGGGCAAGCTCCACAGTTTGGGGACCACTGGTCTAAACAGTCACGGTGGACAAAGTGCAGGTGAGGGAGCGGAGGTACAGGGAGGCAAAGGCTGGGGATTCAGAGAGAAGTGCATAAATCTGGGGTTTATGCACCTAAAATACCAGTTTTAGGTTCCACTGCAATCCCCAGAGCTACTGCCAAGCCCTGTAGGAGCCCAAATTCACTCAGTGCCTGTGTGTTCAGGGTACAAGTTTTCTCAGTGCTTTGGTTTCTGCCTCTGGGCATGTGCACAGCTGCCCCTCTAGAGGCCTCTGGCTGCCTATTTCCTGCCAACCCATGAGCTGGGTGAGGACAGGTGTTCGCCTGCCTCTCTCCCCTGCAGGGCCTGATCTGCTGGGCACCCTCAGAGACAAAGGAATGGGAGGGACAGAGAGGCACGGAAGGGGCAATGACTTGACCAAACTCACAAAACAGCTCAGTAGCAGAACCAGGGATTAAACCCTGGCCTCCCAATGCCCATCCTAGTTCTCTAGCCACTAGGCCACACCACCTCTCATCACTCCTGCAACGCACTGCTTTACAATTGCATTATAAACCTCTGAGCACAGCTGAGTTTCGACAGAGCCTGTGCTTGGTGTAGTGCCCAGCTTGAGCATTTCCTATCTAATGACCGCTGGCAGCTTCCTGGAAGCAGCGGTCAGGTAACCTTGTCAGCAGTGTTCTCAGTGGGTTCGTTTCCTGCTACTTTCTGAAGCATAAGATGCACTGAAAGATTTCTGCTTTAAAAAAAACAAGGTTAATCTGCTTAATTTTTTTCTCAAGGTAAAACCAGGATGACCAATTCCTGTTTTCCCTGGTTTGCTGAAGGCTGGTCACTTTGTTGCTCCTGAAGCAGAGCGGGGAGTCAGGGGAGGCACAGCCCTGCATGGCCCTGCCCACCCACAGGTGCCCTCTTTCTTCCCGCCAGTATGCTGCATCTCTTCCCCCCTGGCTGGGCTGGAGTTAGCTGGGGCCTGCCCTGCGGCACAGGACTGCAGGCCGCTGGGGCCGGTGCTCATGCCACCCGGCGCTCCTGGGGCTGGGGACGCTGAGGGCTGCACTGCCTGGTGCTCTGGGGCGGAGGGGCTGGCTGTCACAGTGGGGGGCTCTGGTGGGGGTGGGAGGGGCGGGGCCTCAGGCTGAAGGGGCTGGACTGGCAGACAGCTTCCCCGAGCCAGTGATTCTCGTCCCGCCCATGCATACTTTGGAGTTTTGCTTTGGGTTTATGCGTCCATTTGAACCACAAACTCGATGCAGCATTCTAGGGCCCATGAAACCCAAGTGGATTGGAACCTTAAAAAGTCTGTTGGACAGAGCAATCCCCTCGGGGCAGAATCCGCTGTGCTGTACGCCACGCTAGCTGTAAGGACGAAGTGGGCTGTATTAGTGCCACAATAAGATTAAAGGAAGAAAATGGCTGATTCCCAGGACCACGTTGAGTCTCAGTACTGGAGCACCTCGGAAGTGCTTCTTTTCCTCCATGCCAATATTTATGAACCTTGGGAGTGTGTTGTATTTTTAACCAGGAGCCCCTTTCTCCCACGTGTTCATTAGGCTCCAGAGTTTAATATACACTTTTTTAAAAAGTGTTTTAAACAACTCTTACCAAAACTCCCTTCCCTGTAAGTTGCTCGGCTTTAACTCTCTGACATCCAGATCTCTTCATATACTGTTCCCTGTCATTGTATGGGAGCAGGACACTCTAGTCTACACTGCTGGAAAATGGATACAACTTCAACCCATTGCCCTGCAGCACTTGGAGGATTTGCTGGAGGCAAAGGGCTGTCTGGACCAGGGGCTCTCAAACTGAGGGTTGGGACCCCTCAGGGGGTCGTGAGGTTATTACCTGGGGGGTCACGAGCTGTTAGCCTCCACCCCAGATCCTTCTTTGCCTCCAGCATTAATAATTGTGTTAAATATATCAAAAAATGTTTTTTTAATTTATAAGGGGGGTTCGCACTCAGAGGCTTGCTCTGTGAAAGGGGTCACCAGTACAAAAGTTTGAGAACCACTGGTCTAGACAAAGTCCCTAATCCTCTACATCAAGACTGGTGCCCCCAAGGCCTCTCTGTTCCCTGGCAGCATGACACATACAGCATAGAAGGAAAGCAAGCAGGGCCGAGACTGGAGACTGAGATGCCCAGCTGCCATGAAATGAATGGAGCTGTGTTTTTAAATCCTTTGTGTGGCTCTGCAACACCTCACCTTGGGTGAATTACAGAATAAGATCCTCAGATCACATTTTCAAAAGCACCAACTGACTTTAAAGCCAAAGTCCCATTTTCAAAGGAGATTTAGGTCTGAATCCCCAAAGGGACTTGGGTGTTGTGATGCTGATTAGCATTGCAATACCTAACTTTTAGGCACCTAGAAAGTCACTAAGGACATAAGAACCGCTGCACTGGGTCAGAGCAAAGGTCTATCTAGCCTAGTATCCTGTCTTCTGATGGTGGCCAATGCCAGGTGCTTCTGAGGGAATGAACAGAACAGGGCAATTATCAAATGATCCATCCATTGTCATCTGGTCCCAGCATCTGGCAGTCAGAGGCTTAGGGATCTCTGGACCCTGGGGTTGCATCCCTGACCATCTTGGCTAATAGCTATTGATGGACCTATCCTCCATGACCTCATCTAATTCTTTTTTGAACCCACTTATACTTTTGGCCTTCACAACATGCCTGGCAATGTGTTCCATGGATTGATTGTGTGTTGTGTGAAGAAGTACTTCCTTTTGTTTGTTTTTTAAACCTGCTGCCTATTAATTTCCACTGGTTCCTGGTATGTGAAGGGGTAAATAAACTTCCCTATTTGCTTTCTATAAAATCTTGGATGGTGTAGAGACCGTTCACATCTCCACCCCAACCCCAGTTGTCTCTTTTCCAAGCTGAACACTCGGTCTTTTTAATCTCTCCTCATATGGAGGCTGTTCCATACCCCTAATAATTTTTGTTCCTTTTGCTGTACGTTTTCCTATTCAAATATATCTTGTTTGAAATGGGGCCAATAGAACTGCATGATGTATTCAAGATGTACCATGGATTTATATAGTGTCTGTCTTCTTATCTGTCACTTTCCTAGTGGTTATTAAAATTCTGTTAGCTGAACAGATGTTTTCAGAGATGACTCCAAAATCTTTCATGAGTGGTAAGAGCTCCTTAGACCCCGTCATTTTATATGTATAGTTGGGATTATGATTTCCAATGTGCATTACTTTGCATTTATCAACAGTGAAATTCAGCTGCCACTTTGTTGCCCAGTCACCCATTCTTGTGAGATCCCTTTGTAACTGTCCGCAGTCTGCTTTGACTCCACTACCTTGAGTAATTTTGTATCGTCTGCAGACTTTGCCACCTCACTGTTTACCCCCTATTCCTGATCATTGATGACTATGTTAAACAGCACTGGTCCCAGTATAGATCCTTGGTGGACCCTGGTATTTACCTCTCCATTGTGAAAACTGACCATTTATTCCGATCCTTTGTGTCCTATATTTTGACCGGTTATTGATCCATGAGATAAACAGTCATGGGATAAGAGAGAAGGTTAATTTCCTTAAGAGACTTCAGTGTGGGACCTTGTCAAAGGCTTTCTGAAAGTCTAAGTACACAATATCCAGTGGATCATCCTTGTTGAGACCCTCAGAATTCTAATAGATTGGTGAGGCAGGATTTCCTTTCACAAGAGCCGTGTTGATTCTTCCCCCAACAAATCATGTTCATCTGTGTCTGACAATTTTGTTCTTTACTATCGTTTCAACCAATTTGCCTGGTGCTGAAGTTAGGCTTTGTCTGCAATACAGCCTATGTCGCCCAAACTTACGTCGCTCAGGGCTGTGAATATTTCACCTCCCTGAGTGACCTATGCATTCATGTGCACAGTGCTAGGTCAGCAGGAAAGCTTCTCCCGCCACCATAGCTTCTGCCGCTCGTGGAGGTGGGTTTATTATGCTCCCGTCCGCATAGAACGTCTCCACCACATGCCCTGCAGCGGCACAGATGTATGGGTACAGCTACAGCGCTGTACTTATCAACAAGCCCTTAGGCTTACTGGCCTGTAATTGGCAGGATTACAACGGGAGACGCTGCTGAGAGGGGCTGATGAGGGGAAGAGATTTGAACTGGAATCTCCCACCTCTCAAGAGGCAATTGTGACATTGCCATGAGCACCGTCTGTGGGACAGCCTGAGAGGGACGTGCAATGTATGTACATTGCATCTGTGAGGACAGACTCCTCAGCTCCTGAGCCTCCCAAACATTGTTTTTCTTGCCTCAGGAACAAATTCAAACCCGACTGAACACCCTGAAGCAAGAGAGAGAAGAACTTCTGGAGTGGAAACAGGATGGAAAGAAGCAAAGCCAGGAATATCTGGTAGGTTCCCATTGTTATGGTCCAGCAGTTGCATCAATCAGAGTTGGTATCTCTCTGTGGGGAGAGTGTCAAGCTTGCTCTATACTCAGCAGTGCCTGACTTAGCTATGGCTACATCTACACGGCACACCGCTGGGGGCAACCTGTAAGGTACGTGTAGTGACACCGCACAGTGAAAAGCGGGCTGTGTCCATGCTGTGGTGTGTAGCTACAGGGGTGAATGAAAGGCTCCAGCAGGGGGAGGCAGCAGAGCGGCCGGAGCCTTCCTCCACTCCCTGGAGCCTTTTCCTGTGGTGGGGAAAGGCTCTGGCACTGGGGAAGCAGCGGGACACTGCAGTGTAGATGGGGGAGGCCCTGCTTGGGGGTGTATAGAGCCCTGTGTGTAGGGTTTATACCCAGAGGGTTCAGGCATATCGTGACTCTACTTGCTTAAGCCATGCCTCGCCATCTACACTGCTATTTATGCCCATGTTAGCGGGTGCATATAGTGTACGTCCTCTACACACCACCATAACATCTGTGTAGTACAGCTGTACCTCAAATCACTTTTTAATGTAACGTCTTTATACTGGTGTAAGCCCCTGACCTGCAAACATTTTAAACCTAATTTAATTTGACTCTAGTGTGGTGTGTAGGGTTCACCTTGTCCAGTTAAACTGAGATAAAATGTGCTAACTAGGAGCAAGGTCGAGCTTAGATCAGGGTTAGCTGTGATGTATTAGGTAACCTCAAGCACTTTGCCTCTTGTAGACTCACCCTTTCAGGGTGTGATCCTGTTGGTCTTTGTTGTTCATCCCTCTGGGCTGATTCCTCCACTGGCTTCCAGTTTCAACTCTAAGCACTGATCTTATTCTCCACACATCAGTGGGTCCAAATCGAGCTACAAACAGTGATTTGAGGGGAGATTTTTTCAAAGGCACGTATGGTGATTAGGTGCCTAATTCACATTAACAGTCAATAGCACTTACAAAACAGCCACTGGGTACCTATCTCTGAAATCCTTCCCCTGAATCTCCATCTATAACCACCAGACACAACTGGTTTCCTCTGGGACAATGTAATTAACAAAATGCCAGATGAAACATGTAAGAGCTGGAGAAAATGCATTTTGCACAGTATATGTTGTAACTGGTGTTTTGTGTGGGTAACCAGCAGAACTTTCCTTCCGTCTTCTCTACAACTCTCTGCCAATGTATTTCTGATTCTGAGTCAGACCCCCCCTCTTCCAACCTTTCTGCTATTGGAACAATCTAGATGATCAGCAGAATACTAAGCCACTCAGACCTGAAGACTCATCATTCTTGAGATATTGGGTGACATTTTCAAAAGTGCTTAAGTGATTTTGGAGCCTAAGGTTTACAATTTTGCAAGTGGTTAAGGGCCAGATTCTCACAGGTATTTAGGGGCTTAAAATGCAGAGAGAGGCCTAGTGAGATTTTCAAAAGCAACTAAGTAGCACCTGACGTCCTCTGTAGTCAAGGCGTCTTAGGCACCTATGTGATATTGAAAATCCCTCTAGGGGCTTATATGCCTCTTTAGATACCTAAATATCTTTTAAAAGCAGCTCCTTATACCTTTTTTTAAATGGGTTTCAGCTCCTAAATGATTTTGCTGTTTTTGAAAATTTACCCTCAGTTCTATTTTCAAAAGTCACTTTCAAGGAAACTTCGGCTCCTCAGTCACTTTGCACCAAAAGTCACTTTGAAAATGGGAACTGGAGGCGTAAGTCCCCAAGACACTTGGGAACATGTTAGTCTCCGCTGGCCTGAATGAACATCAGGCATGTTCTCCTGAAATCTCAACCGTGTGTTTGTAGCAGGGTGAAATGAAAAGAGGGCTCTAAGAACTGTTCCCAGACTCTCCCCATGGCCCTGATAGGCTGTCCAACTTTCTCATTTGTGAGAACCGGACGCTGAACACTGGAACCTGCCCCGTCCCATGCTCCACCTCTTTCTCTTGTGGCCGCGCCCCCCACTCCCAGGGCCGGTGGCAGGATGTTTTGCATCCTAGGCGAAACTTCCATCTTGCACCCCCTCCTCCGCCCTGAGGCGCCCCCCCCGGCGGCAGCTCCCCGCCGCTCCTCCCCCGCCCTGATGCGTGGCCCCCCCCCAGCAGCAGCTCCCCGCCACCCCGTCTCCCCTCAGGGAGTCGTGCGGCAACTCCCCGCCCCAGCTCACCTCTGCTCTGCCTTCTCCCTGAGCGCACTGCCGCCTTTCCACTTTTCCTGCCTCCCAGGCTTGCGGCGCCAATCAGCTGTTTGGAGCCGCTAGCCTGGGAGGGAGAGCGGCAGCGTGGGGCGGTGCTCAGGGGAGGAGGCGGAGCAGAGGTGAGCTGTGGCGGGGAGTGGTTCCCCTGTGCGGCGCTCCCTCCCCTCCTCCCCCCGTTACTTGCTGCAGGCGGCCCTCCCCGCGCCCCCCTGCCCCAGCTCACCTCCGCTCCACCGCCTCCCCGGAGCGCGCTTTTGGCCGCCCCCAACCACTTGGTGCCCTAGGCGACCGCCTAGTTTGCCTAGTGGTTGCCCCGGCCCTGCCCACTCCTCTTTCCCCCCTCACTGTCGCTTGCTGCTCTCTCCGCCTCCCTCCGCCTGCCAGCTGAGCAGGGCTCTAGCAGTGTGGTGGAGGTGACTGGGTCAGGGCGGGGGAGGGATAGAGGGGTGATTGAGGCAGGACAGGGGAGCTGCCCGTACTTCTCTCCCCCCCCATGGAGCCACCCCTGAGTGCTCCTCCAGGCTCCCAGCAGCAGCTGCTGCTCTTCCCATCCCCTGGTGGTGGAAGCCAGTTACTGTGGGTAACCCGACTTCTAACATCCGGTCAGCAGTGCTGACTGGACGCTGCCAGGTTCCCTTTTTTGACTGGACTTTCTGCTTGTAAACTGGACATGTGGCAACCCAAGTCCCTGACCTGTCCTTTCCCTGTTTGTCTCTTCATTACAGGGGAAAATAGAAGCTGAGAGGCAGAAGATTGTGTCTGAATTTGAGCAACTGCGGCAGTTGTTGGAGGAACAAGAGCAGCTCCTGCTGGCCCAGCTGGAAGAGTTGAACAAGGAAATTGTGAAGATACAGGATGAAAATGTCACCAAACTATCTGAGGAGATTTCCCATCTCAGTGACCTGATCAGTGAGATAGAAGAGAAGTGTCAGCAGCCAACAAGTGAATTCCTGCAGGTGAGACAGTTAGAGACACCCAGATCCCTGCCCAGGGAAGGGAGAGATTCTGATTGATTAGCTTTGGAGTTTATTAAGTTCTTCAAGAGCTCCCACTCCACAATGGAGACTGTCAGTGTGTCCTTTAGCAAAGCGAGGGAAAACAAAATGTGACATTTCTAATATTTCCAGTGTGGAAACAGCTTTGCTGTTTTAAAGCAGACATCTCAGGCCTTTTTGATACATCCTATATAAGCCCCTTCGTTTTCAGTTTAAACCAATTTTTACCAAAAAATTTCTGGGTTTTACAAAAAAGTATTATTCAGGTTTTTCTGATTTTCATCCTACTTTTGTATCATTCAAATATATACAAAAAACTTGTTTTATTAAGAAAATACAATACATTGCATGAGATCTCTGTATTCCGATAATACATTAGTCTCTGTGTATATGCAAAGCTGCCTGCTGAAGTAAGAACGTATTGTTCTAGAAGATACACACAATAAACCAACAGGCACGCATGCAAGCTCTGAAGTGCGTGTGCATCTGAACCTACTGATAAATCTCATGCCCACCACGTACACGTTTCAAACTGTTAGTGGACAATGGGTTAAAACAATGGGTTAAAGATTTGACTCACTAAAGTGGAAAAAATGAAAATCTACATCAGAATACATTTCAGAACACAAGGAAGTATTCAAAAGGGTTAAAGAAACAAAAACAGGAGAAAAGGATGAAGTTGAGTGTATACGCTGCAACTGGTGTGGCCCAATTATCAAATGTGAATATTTTATAGGCTAATCGTTCTAAGCAAAGCTTTTGATACGGTCTTCTACAGCATTCTTGCCGGCAAATTAAAGAAGTATGGGCTGGATGAATGGACTATAAGGTGGATAGAAAGCTGACTAGACTGTCGGGCTCAACAGGTAGTGATCGATGGCTCCATATCTAGTTGGCAGCCAGTATCAAGCGGAGTGCCCCAAGGGTCGGTCCTGGGGCCGGTTTTGTTCAATATCTTCATTAATGATCTGGAGGATGGTGTGGATTGCACCCTCAGCAACTGAACCTGCAGATGACACTAAACTGGGAGGAGGAGTAGATACACTGGAGGGTAGGGATAGGATACAGAGGGACCTAGACAAATTAGAGGATTGGGCCAAAAGAAATCTGATGAGGTTCAACAAGGACAAGTGCAGAGTCCTGCACTTAGGACGGAAGAATCCCATGCACTGCTACAGACTAGGGACCGAATGGCTCGACAGCAGTTCTGCAGAAAAGGACCTAGGGGTTACAGTGGACGAGAAGCTGGATACGAGTCAACAGTGTGCCCTTGTTGCCAAAAAGTCGAACGGCATTTTGGGCTGTATAAGTAGGGGCATTGGCAGCAGATTGAGGGACGTGATCATTCCCATCTATTCTGCATTAGTGAGACCTCATCTGGAGTACTGTGTCCAATTTTGGGCCCCACACTACAAGAAGGATGTGGAAAAATTGGAGAGAGTCCAGCGGAGGGCAACAAAAATGATTAGGGGGCTGGAGCACATGACTTATGAGGAGAGGCTGAGGGAACTGGGATTGTTTAGTCTGCAGAAGAGAAGAAAGGGGGAGGATTTTTGATAGCTGCTTTCAACTACCTGAAAGGGGGTTCCAAAGAGGTTGGATTTAGACAGTTCTCAGTGGTACCAGATGCCAGAACAAGGAGTAATGGTCTCAAGTTGCAGTGGGGGAAGTTTAGGTTGGAGATTAGGAAAAAAAAATTCACTAGGAGAGTGGTGAAGCACTGGAATGGGTTACCTAGGGAGGTGGTGGAATCTCCTTCCTTAGAGGTTTTTAGGGTCAGGCTTGACAAAGCCCTGGCTGGGATGATTTAGTTGGGGATTGGTCCTGCTTTGAGCAGGGAGTTGGACTAGATGACCTCCTGAGGTCCCTTCGAACCCTGATATTCTATGATTCTACACCAGTAACCTGTTTGTTCAAATGAAATGTTTTATTTGGGGATTACAGATATATTGTTTTCTTAAACTCGGGGAGGGCATTATGCTTTGAGTTCTGTTTTAGTTCTGCAGCAAACCACAGGGATGAATGGAATTCAAAGCATTAATCTACTGAATACTTTTTCTCCCTGTCTTTCCATCCACCAAAACAAATCCCGATATTTACCCAGAAAACTTAATAGTTTTCTGCACTGATTTTTTACCTGTTTTTATTGTGGTAATAAACACTGATAAAATCCCAGGAAAAATTAACTAAAATAAAAACTGAAAATGAAGGGCCCTAACGATATGAAAGCAATAAAAGGCACAACTCCACTTTCTAGGAAGTGTGAGATTAGGAAAGCGAAGTTCTTTGCAGGGCCTATTAAGAAATGGGAATAAATCCAGCTTCCAGAATTGCTGAGCAGAATTGCATACATGGAGAAAGGCAAACGCTCTGGACACAGCAGTTGCATGTGGCAGTCAGGGATTCATGTGTCTGATCAGTCTGTTTGAGCAAATGCCATTGGCACAGGCAAAATAGAATTTAGAAGGAGAAAACCCACAATCATGGTGTGTGCTTAGGGGTCCCATTCCATTGATATCTGTGAATGGACTTTTGAAGTTGCTAACTGCAGAGAACTGGATCTCGAGCTCAACTAGGGATGGCAAAGCAAGTCCCCTGCAGGGCAGGAGCGATCCCCATCTTGTGGCAAGTGGGACTGAACTCTCTTTCTCTTTTCTAGGACATCAAAAGCACCTGGAGCAGGTACGTGACTCCTTCCCACTCCCCCTCACGCGTCATGATGCTAGAAAGGGATTGTCCCCCCAGGGTCAGATTTTGCAGGGCATTTAAACACCTGAGACGTAGCTAGGCACTTGGTGGGGTTTTCCAAAGCAGCTAAGCGAGTTAGGCACCTCCCATTGTGGTCAGTGGCAGTTGGGAGCCTGCCTTGGTTAGGTGCTTTTGAAAATCCCAGGAGGCATCTTTAAAAATCAGGCCTTAAGTGACTTGCCCAAGGTCATGCAGGGAGGCTGTGGCAGAGCAGGGAGTGGAACATAGGTTTCCAGAGTCCTACAGCAACCCCTTAACCACTGGAGCATCCTTTTCCATGAGATTAGGCCCTTCTCTCTGAGGGGCAGCCTGTGGACCCCTTACTCTCTTTAACTCCCATTGGAGGAGCTAGGCATTTAAAAACTCTAGTGAGGAGATGAATTGTCTCACCAGTGGGAGTTAGAGGCTCTCATTGAGCCCACAAGAGAGCAGCCTCTGGTAGCTCATTCTCAAGAAAGAAAAGATTTAGGGTGTTTCCCCCTTCCCCCCCCAGGTGTGAGAAGGTGAAGTTCGAGAAACCAATGGCTGTGCCACAGGATGTGAGCGAGAAAGTTGGCGTCTCTTCCCAAAGAAATGTTTGTCTACAGGAGGCTCTGAAGAAATTCAGAGGTAACTTAACAGTTATTTGGGCTCATGATATGGTGATGGCACATCGAGATGTGCCTCTGACCGTGGAAGGAGTTGGACTCTGGCCTATTAGTTCTCAGCTCGTCACAGCTAGATGTCTGTGGGTGGGATGGAGAGGGCTCAGGGCTGATGCCAATTCGCCAAGCCTCCACTTGGATTGTCTCAGACCCAACCATGGGTGTCAAAATTGGCCACTCAGAATTTCAGAGAGACACAATTGCCAGATGTTTTAGAAAATGTTGAATTTAACCTCCATGGCTGGGATTTTCCAAGGGACCTAAGGGATTTAGGCCCCATCTCTCTCTGACTGTCAATGGGAATTGGCCACCACGTGGCCTCAGCCCTTTTGAAAATCCCAGAATCTGTACCTCAAGTTCCTCCATCTTGAAAAAGGAGGAAATAATGGCCAACCTACCTTGTGCTAATTAGTGAATGCCGCCGAGTGCTTTGAGATCGTTGGAGTAAGGCAGGAGATGGACGATATATTTTGGACGATGATTTCATTTTAGTTTGGTCTCACTGGAAAGGTCTCCCCATTCCGATCTGCCTCTCGTTCTGTGGTCTTTTCCTTTGGGCTGTGTCTCAGAATTACAGCACGGTTCCATGCCGTGCTGCGACAGCCGTGTCAGCCCCAGGATATTAGACAGGGTGAGCGAGGTCATAGCTTTTATTGGACCAACTCCTGTTGGGGAGAGACAAACTTTTGAGTTACACGGACCTGAAGAAGAGCTCTGAGTAAGCTCCAAAGCTGGTCTCTCTCAATCACGGTTATATTAATTAGTGGTAGGAATGTCACCAGAGTCAAGACAACATGAAATCACCTCTCTTCCAATCCTTCCTTTCTCTTGAGACCCAGCCCTATGAATTGAGCTCAAATGCAGAAAGAAAGAGTATGGGCTAGATTCACAAAAGGACTTGGGGTGGGTGTGGGTCTACTTGCCATTTTAGGCACCTAAATCCCAGAATCAGACCACACTGGGATTCACAAAGACCCCCCACTCAGCTGCAACCAAACCTTGTAGGTGCCTAAAATTACTCATCACCTCTATTTTTGCGGTAAAAGTCCCCTAGGCACCTATGTTTCTGCTTCTGTGCATGCACTCTGCAGTTCCAGTCCAGCTGCCAAGACACCTAAGCCCCAGAGAGCTACACGAACTGGGGAAAGAAAGGGGTTCCTCCTCCTAACTCACCTACAGGGCCCAATCGGAGATGCCTGCTCTGAGCACGCTTACTGACTCAGGCCTTATATGTGAACTTACCCAAAAGAACCAGGCTCTAGGGAAAGAGGAGCTCCCTTATAATGTATAGCTCTGTGATTAGGGTACTGACCTGGGATGTGGGAGATTCCCAGTTCAAATCCTCTGTCCCCCCGAGGGGAAGAAGGGATTCCAACAGGGGTCTGATATAGGCCTCTCTGTTGCCCCTTTTGAATCTGATCCACTGTGGATAAATAATTGAGCAGAGGGACAGGCTTCTGGGTCTCCCATGTCCCAAGAGCGTGCTCTAACCACCTGGGACGTTCTCATGATTTCTCTCTGTTTCTGGCCCAATGAATTATTGATTATCCCCAGTGGAACCTCTCCCACAGGAGAGCATGTGGGCACCCCGCGTCAGACAATCCTGCAGCCCAGAGATTAGGGCACTCCTTGAGAGGTGGTAGATCCCATTTCAAATCTCTGCTCCCTCTGCGGCACAGGGTTGACATGAACCAGGGATCTTCCAAAGGCCAGCTGAGTGCGCTAACCACTGGGCTAAAAGTTATGAGCGAGGTGGGTTTCCTCCCCCCCCCCCCAGGCTTCTTACAAAAAAATGGCACAGGTGCCGGTCATCAAGAGAGGGCTAGCAGCTGAGAATCCCACACCAAGGGAGGCACCTACGGTGCTGCCTAGATTCGGTCGCCGAACTCCCTGAGGGGGCCGGGGCTTAGCACACCCCCGCATCTTGGCATTTCCCACTGGCTGGCATAAACAGGGAGTCGCCTAGCATGCTGGCTTTTATGAAGCTCATTCCAAGGCGCATCTCTCTTCCCATTCATGGTGCAGATTGCCTGGGTGTCTGACTCTGGTTTTGTAAATCACAGTGACTTTCTAGGTGTCTAAGTGTTGGGTGTTGTGATGCTAAGCGTCAGCTTGCCTAAGTTTGTTTGTGAATCCAGCCCCGTTTTCATGAGGCTATTTTCCCACAAGAAAGGGGGAAATCACCTCTCCTCTGATCTTTTCTTCCTCTAGAGACCCTGCCCTATCAACTGAACTTTCTGATCTCCAAGGCAGAGAAAGAGGGTAAGTTTTCATAAGGATATTTTCCTACAACAATTATTAATTAAAATCTCCGGATTAATTTTTTAGAAGACACTTCTGAATTCAAACAAGAGAGGTTTCCACCAATACAGAGCTATGGATTCCAAGGTTAGAAGGAACCATTATATCATAACGGCCAGACTGGGTCAGACCAAAGGTCCATCTAGCCTAGTATCCTGTCTTTTGACAGTGGCCAATGCCAGGTGCCCCAGAGGGAATGAACAGAACAGGGAATCATCCAGCCCATCACCCATTCCCATTTTGTGATGTATGAACGTGCACATACTATTTACAATTGGAAAGTAGGGTACATTTTTTAGCTCCAATAATCAGCCTTTAGGGCACACTCTGGTCACATTTTTCTGCCTCTCTCGGCAATTATAAGGACTAGAAATTTGCTCTATTTTTATTTTTTATATGAAAGACAAGCTTCACTACTGGAAAACATCATTAACACAGAGTGCAGGTTGACCATCAGTGCCTTGTACTCTCCCAGAACGTGAAAGGAACCCATGTTTCAACCTCTGAAAACTGGGAAATAAAGAGTTAAGGAAGTGTCTCCCACCAGTTCCTGTGCTATACTTCCCTCTCACCCTAGCGTCAGGAGCATGGACTCATGTGCTGGGCTCTATCCATCTCCAGCTGGTAGAAGGTCCCTTGCGGGGAGACCACGCTAAGGCCAGTACTGAACCAGGCAGAGAATCAGGACTGCAGCGGCAGTCAAAAAAGCAAACAGAATGTTGGGAATCGTTAGGAAAGGGATGGATAATGAGACAGAAAATATCATATTGCCTGTATATAAATCCCTGGTACGCCCACATCTCGAATACTGCGTGCAGATGTGGTTGCCCCATCTCAAAAAAGATATATTGGAAAAGGTTCAGAAAAGGGCAACAAAAACTACTAGGGGCATGGAACAGCTGCCATATGAGGAGAGATTAATGAGATTGGGACTTTTCAGCTTGGAAAAGGGACGACTAAGGGGGGATGTGATAGAGGTCTATAAAATCATGACGAGTGTGGAGAAAGTAAATAAAGAAGTGTTGTTTACTTCTTCTCATAATATAAAAACGAGGGGTCACCAAATGAAATTTCAGAGTAGCAGCCATGTTAGTCTGTATCCGCAAAAAGAAAAGGAGTACTTGTGGCACCTTAGAGACTAACCAATTTATTTGAGCGTGAGCTACAGCTCACTTCGAGCTGTAGCTCACGAAAGCTCATGCTCAAATAAATTGGTTAGTCTCTAAGGTGCCACAAGTCCTCCTTTTCTTTTTTCAAATTAAATTAATAGGCGACAGGTTTAAAACAAACAAAAGGAAGGATTTCTTCACACAACGCACAGTCAACCTGTGGAACTCCTTGCCAGAGGATGTTGTGAAGGCCAAGACTATAACAGGGTTCAAAAAAGAACTAGATAAATTCATGAAGGATCAGTCCATGAATGGCTATTAGCCAGGATAGGCAGGGATGGTGTCCCTAGCCTCTGTTTGCCAGAAGCTGGGAATGGGCAACAGGGGCTGGATCACTGGATGATGGCCTGTTCGGTTCATTCCCTCTGAAGCACCTGGCACTGGCCGCTGTCAGAAGACAGGACACGAATAGCCAGTGATGGATAAATTCATGGAAGATAGGTCCATCCGTTCAAGGAGTATTGTCTCTCCCTGGGGGTTGGTGCTCCCTGTGGTACTGGGAACTGTCCCTTTAAGTAGTTTGGCTTCCCAGACAGGAAGGAGGAGCATAGCAGAAGCTCTGTGATACAGAACCCTAGATAAAGAGGGTTTCATTCAAACATCATGCTCCCAGCACGATTATGTATCTGGACAGGAAGAGCATTAGAGTTAGCAGCCGAGTAAGCGCCTGGGTTAACTCTGCAGTGAGGACAGACCTTAACACTCTCCTCCTGTCTCTCTCTCCCCTCGTGCAGTGCAGGCCACTCCGGATCCAGACCTGGGGATTCCCTGTTCCGTCGTGTCCACAGATGAGAGTGTGATACAGAAATACCAAAACTTGGGATATGTAGGGACACAGAACAGGTTTCACCCTGCTGCCTGTGTGCTGGGCTATAAGGGCTTCACCTCAGGGAGATGTTACTGGCAAGTGGAGGTGGGGAACAAACGTAATTGGGTTTTGGGCATTGCCAAAGAGTCTGTGATACATGAGGGAGCGAAAAGCCGTACACCAGAGGAGGGGATCTGGGCTTTGCAGAGCACAGGGAATGGGTACTCAGCCCTCACCTCCCCTGAGACTGCTCTGGCCCTACCTCGTAGCCCCAGTAACATTGGGGTTTATCTGGATTATGAAGGGGAGAAAGTTACATTTTATGACATTACATCTTCTGGCAGAGAGCCAATCTTTACTTTCACATCTTCTTTCACTGGGAAGATCATCCCCTTCTTTGGAAGCCGACGTGTAGTATTTCTGAGTTCAGCGGAAAACATACCGTTTCGTGGTCACTGTCCGACATATCGTTAATCCCTGTGACAGAGGAGTAGGGATCACTCAATATGAAATATCTGAAGTGGAGCAAAGACATAGGTAATATATAAATTACAGCTATCACACTTTGCCATTCTAATCACAGTCTTGTCAGCCTCAAGCATTCAAAAACTGTCAGGACCCCCAAAATCATGAGATTGGCTTAAACATCTTTTTAAATATTGTGTTATTTTCTTTGCCTTCTGGTTTCCCAGCTTTTGGGGTGTTCTTGTTTCCGATTTTCAATCTTTGCTACACAAACGTGAAGGCTGGAAATGTATCTGTAATATAATCTGAGGTTGCCTTGCAATCTATCTACTCCAGCTGCTGGGACTTTAAGAAAAACACCAAGTGCTGCGAGACTCACAATAAACTGATGAGAGAGGACAAGACTGACTTGCTTAGCATTATACTGGTGAATGGAGTTTCTCGACCCTTTTACATGCCTGTCTCTGTAACTCTGTGATCCTCCAGGCACACAAAAACTGGCCAACAAGCAGACACCAGGAGCCACTCTCAGGGTCACACCAGAGCCTGCCTGTCTTAGGGCAGGTCTACACTTAAAATACTGCAGTAGAACAAATGCACCGGTGCTGCTCCACCGCTTTAATGCTTAAGTGAAGACGCTCCTATGCTGACAGGAGAGCTTCTCCCATCAGTGTAGTTAATCCACCTCTGAGAGGTGGTAGCTATGTCCAGGGGAGAAGCTCTCCGGTCAATGTACCGCTGTCTACACCAGGAGTTCAGTCGGTACGACTGCATTCACTGAGGGGTGTGGATTTTTCACAGCCCTGAGCGATATAGTTCTACCAATGGAAGTTTATAGTGTAGACCTGGCCTAAGTTCTGACTCACTTCGGGTCATGCATCAAAGTCCTCTGCTCTTTACTTGTGAATATGAAAACCATAGTGGTGTTTCCCTCTCCCTCCAATTCCCCAGCTCAATGCTCCTATTTTGCTCTGTTTCGTTATTTGGATGCTGTAGATTCAGATGAGTAAATTCACAGAATAAAGTTTATTTCTATCTTCTGGTCTTGGACTTTGTCACAAGGGTACTAGATCTGTGCGGCTCTGCCCTGAAAGGCTAGACAGACCCACCAGCAAATGCCTTGAAGGGGCTTGAAGAAAAGCAGCTGGGTAACTTTAAGCGAGAGGTCTAAAAGCAAAATTTGAGGAAAGAGTAAATAAAATCAAAGCATCAAGCGATGCTTTCCCTGGGCAAGAAAAGAAGCAACAGCATCCTCGCTGTGAAAGAAATCTGTTGGCAACTTCCAGCTGCCCCGAGGAACAGAAGGAAACTGGCAATAAAATAGCCAGCTCACATCATCAACTGCAGTAATATTATGGGCTGGCACCTGGCCACACCATGGTGCTGCAGCAGCGTTTCTTTCCCAAACCAAATTATCCCTTTTTCTTTAAGTTCACATTTGCAGTCTGAGGGGCTAGAAACCTGATCCACCACCTGAGGGCAGAGGGAAGGGTCAGGGGTACAAATCTAGAGTCATTTGGTCAAGGGGTGTTTGAGATGCAGCCCCTCCCAACACAAGCTATTTCCAAAACTGAGCTAGGCCTGGAATACCAGCAGAATCCTGGCCAGGGCTGGGTGAGGGAGACTCCCAGCACACCCTGGAGCAGGCCCCGGGGCTGGAAGGCAGAAGAACTCAATCTCTTCTGCGGCGGTTTCTCAGCAGTTTGTCTTGGCTGAAGCATCGCACCCTGGGGGAGGTACCTGTGCTTTGCAGATGTGATAAGAGGCTGTAGAAGGTGAACTCAGGGTATGTCTACACTACAAAATAGGTCGAATTTATAGAAGTCGTTTTTTTAGAAATCGGTTTTATATATTCGAGTGTGTGTGTCCCCACAGAAAATGCTCTAAGTGCATTAAGTGCATTAACTCGGCGGAGCGCTTCCACAGTACCGAGGCAAGAGTCGACTTCCGGAGCGTTGCACTGTGGGTAGCTATCCCACAGTTCCTGCAGTCTCCGCTGCCCATTGGAATTCTGAGTTGAGATCCCAATGCCTGATGGGGCTAAAACATTGTCGTGGGTGGTTCTGGGTACATATCGTCAGGCCCCCGTTCCCTCCCTCCCTCCGTGAAAGCAGCAGCAGACAATCATTTCACGCCTTTTTTCTTGAGTTACCTGTGCAGACGCCATACCACGGCAAGCATGGAGCCCGCTCAGGTAACCGTCACCGTATGTCTCCTGGGTGCTGGCAGACGTGGTACTGAATTGCTACACAGCAGCAACAACCCATTGCCTTGTGGCAGCAGACGGTACAGTGGGACTGGTAGCCATCATCGTCATGTCCGAGGTGCTCCTGGTCGCCTCTGTGAGGTCGATCCGGAGCGCCTGGGCAGACATGGGTGTAGGGACTAAATTTGGAGTGACTTGACCAGGTCATTCTCTTTAGTCCTGCAGTCAGTCCTATTGAACCATCTTATGGTGAGCAGGCAGGCGATACGGATTGCTAGCAGTCCTACTGTACCATCTTCTGCCAGGCAGGCAAGAGATGAGGATGGCTAGCAGTCGTATTGCAACGTCTTCGGCCGAGCAGCCATGAGATGTGGATGGCTAGCAGTCGTACTGTACCATCTTCTGCCGAGCAGCCATGAGATGTGGATGGCTTGCAGTCCTTCTGCACCATCTGCTGCCAGCCAAAGATGTAAAAGATAGATGGAGTGGATCAAAACAAGAAATAGACCAGATTTGTTTTGTACTCATTTGCTTCCGCCCCACCCTCGTCTAGGGGACTCATTCCTCTAGGTCACACTGCAGTCGCTCACAGAGAAGGTGCAGTGAGGTAAATCTAGCCATGTATCAATCAGAGGCCAGACCAACCTGCTTGTTCCAATAAGAACAATTACTTAGGTGCACCATTTCTTATTGGAACCCTCCGTGAAGTCCTGCCTGAAATACTCCTTGATGTAAAGCCACCCCCTTTGTTGATTTTAATTCCCTGTAAGCCAACCCTGTAAGCCATGTCGTCAGTCGCCCCTCCCTCCGACAGAGCAACGGCAGACAATCGTTCTGCGCCTTTTTTCTGTGCGGACGCCATACCAAGGCAAGCATGGAGGCCGCTCAGCTCACTTTGGCAATTAGGAGCACATTAAACACCACACGCATTATCCAGCAGTATATACAGCACCAGAACCTGGCAGAGCGATACCGGGCGAGGAGGCGACGTCAGCGCGGTCCCGTGAGTGATCAGGACATGGACACAGATTTCTCTGAAAGCATGGGCCCTGCCAATGCATGCATCATGGTGCTAATGGGGCAGGTTCATGCTGTGGAACGCCGATTCTGGGCTCGGGAAACAAGCACAGACTGGTGGGACCGCATAGTGTTGCGGGTCTGGGACGATTCCCAGTGGCTGCGAAACTTTCGCATGCGTAAGGGCTCTTTCATGGAACTTTGTGACTTGCTTTCCCCTGCCCTGAAGCACATGAATACCAAGATGAGAGCAGCCTTCACAGTTGAGAAGCGAGTGGCAATAGCCCTGTGGAAGCTTGCAACGCCAGACAGCTACCGGTCAGTTGGGAATCAATTTGGAGTGGGCAAATCTACTGTGGGGGCTGCTGTGATGCAAGTAGCCCACGCAATCAAAGATTTGCTGATATCAAGGGTAGTGACCCTGGGAAATGTGCAGGTCATAGTGGATGGCTTTGCTGCAATGGGATTCCCTAACTGTGGTGGGGCCGTAGACGGAATCCATATCCCTATCTTGGCACCGGAGCACCAAGCCGGCGAGTACATAAACCGCAAGGGGTACTTTTCAATAGCGCTGCAAGCTCTGGTGGATCACAAGGGACGTTTCACGAACATCAACGTGGGATGGCCGGGAAAGGTACATGACGCTTGCATCTTCAGGAACTCTGGTCTGTTTCAAAAGCTGCAGGAAGGGACTTTATGCCCAGACCAGAAAATAACTGTTGGGGATGTTGAAATGCCTATATGTATCCTTGGGGACCCAGCCTACCCCTTAATGCCATGGCTCATGAAGCCATACACAGGCAGCCTGGACAGTAGTCAGGAGCTGTTCATCTACAGGCTGAGCAAGTGCAGAATGGTGGTAGAATGTGCATTTGGACGTTTAAAGGCGCGCTGGCGCAGTTTACTGACTCGCTTAGACCTCAGCGAAACCAATATTCCCACTGTTATTACTGCTTGCGGTGCGCTCCACAATATCTGTGAGAGTAAGGGGGAGACGTTCATGGTGGGGTGGGAGGTTGAGGCAAATCGCCTGGCTGTTGGTTATGCGCAGCCAGACACCAGGGCGGTTAGAAGAGCACAGGAGGGCGTGGTACGCATCAGAGAAGCTTTGAAAACCAGTTTCATGACTGGACAGGCTACGGTGTGAAAGTTCTGTTTGTTTCTCCTTGATGAAACCCCCCGCCCTTTGGTTCACTCTACTTCCCTGTAAGCTAACCATCCTCCCCTCCTCCCTTTGATCACTGCTTGCAGAGGCAGTAAAGTCATTGTTGCTTCACATTCATGCATTCTTTATTCATTCATCACACAAATAGGGGGATGACTACCAAGGTAGCCCAGGAGGGGTGGTGGAGGAGGGAAGGAAAATGCCACACAGCACTTTAAAAGTTTACAACTTTAAAATTTATTGAATGACAGCCTTCTGTTTTCTGGGCAATCCTCTATGGTGGAGTGGCTGGTTGGCTGGAGGCCCCCCACCGCATTCTTGGGCGTCTGGGTGTGGAGACTATGGAACTTGGGGAGGAGGGCGGTTGGTTACACAGGGGCTGTAGTGGCAGTCTGCTCCAGCTGCCTTTGCTGCAGCTCAACCATACACTGGAGCATACTGGTTTGATCCTCCAGCAGCCTCAGCATTGAATCCTTTCTCCTCTCATCACGCTGCCGCCACATTTGAGCTTCAGCCCTGTCTTCAGCCCGCCACTTACTCTCTTCAGCCCACCACCTCTCCTCCTGGTCATTTTGTGCTTTCCTGCACTCTGACATTATTTGCCTCCACGCATTTGTCTGTGCTCTGTCAGTGTGGGAGGACAGCATGAGCTCAGAGAACATTTCATCACGAGTGCGTTTTTTTTTTTCTAATCTTCATTAGCCTCTGGGAAGGAGAAGATCCTGTGATCATTGAAACACATGCAGCTGGTGGAGAAAAAAAAAGGGACAGCGGTATTTAAAAAGACACATTTTATAAAACAGTGGCTACACTCTTTCAGGGTAAACCTTGCTGTTAACATTACATACTTAGCACATGTGCTTTCATTACAAGGTCGCATTTTGCCTCCCCCCACCGCATGGCTACCCCCTCAACTCTCGCCCCTCCCCGTGGCTAACAGCGGGGAACATTTCTGCTCATCCACAGGCAAACAGCCCAGCAGGAACGGGCACCTCGGAGTGTCCCCTGAAGAAAAGCACCCTATTTCAACCAGGTGACCATGAATTATATCTCACTCTCCTGAGGATAACACAGAGAGATAAAGAACGGATTTTGGTTCAATGCCAGCAAACATACACTGCAATGCTTTGTTCTACAGTGATTCCCGAGTACGTGTTACTGGCCTGGAGTGGTAAAGTGTCCTACCATGGAGGACACAATAAGGCTGCCCTCCCCAGAAACCTTTTGCAAAGGCTTTGGGAGTACATCCAGGAGAGCCGCGAATGCCAGGGCAAATTAATCCTTTCACATGCTTGCTTTTAAACCATGTATAGTATTTTAAAAGGTACACTCACCGGAGGTCCCTTCTCTGCCTGCCGGGTCCAGGAGGCAGCCTTGGGTGGGTTCGGGGGGTACTGGCTCCAGGTCCAGGGTGAGAAACAGTTCCTGGCTGTCGGGAAAACCGGTTTCTCCGCTTGCTTGCTGTGAGCTTCTACAACCTCATCATCATCATCATCTTCTTCGTCCCCAAAACCTGCTTCCGTGTTGCCTCCATCTCCATTGAAGGAGTCAAACAACACGGCTGGGGTAGTGGTGGCTGAACCCCCTAAAATGGCATGCAGCTCATCATAGAAGCGGCATGTGTGGGGCTCTGACCCAGAGCGGCCGTTCGC